ACTGGGTCATTGTTATGATAATAATTTATAATAATATATTATATTGCGTTATCTTATCACATTGCACCGCCACCCAATAGGTGCAGCAGCTGCAACGAGCAATCGGGTGTGGTATGTCTCCTCCTCTTGCGAGGAATCAGTCGTGATTACAGGATGTGGGCGCCGCGGTAACGAAAAATAAAATAAAAGGTAAATAGTTAATAGACTAGACAAAACGAGGAGAGTTTAATAATTGTTCGTTTTAATAGTATGACACCTCGTATGACACAGAGTTGTATATGCGGGACGTTCATGATGTATTTTAAAATTCATACTTATCACCGGCATTAAAACTATGGTTGACGACCACAATAACGACCGGTAGTAGTCACGCGCAGCAGCAGTGCCAAGCTACTTTTTTTTATAATTATAACCTTTGTCAATCCAAACGAAATAACCAATCTAAACATTACACCACACCAATACACCCCATATCCGTGTATTGATGATGTCTGATGAGTACATTATGGCGCCGTATCATATTATGTGAGTCATTAGACTATTGTCATCACTTATATAGTTATATGATCCCATAATCGATGCTAAGCTTTCGCATTGTTAACGATAACTATAGACGGAAATCTTTTCGGACCTAACTACATACAGAATTAATGGCCAAAGTCTACGCAAGAAAACGAAAACAGTGATAATTATTATATTATAAGTACCAGAAAAGTATTTCCCAGGACCCTGCAGCCTACAATTGACAAATGATAAATATTTTTTTAGAAAACCGCGTGGGAGATTTCGATTTTTGTTAGTCTCGTTACGATTACAACCGTCGCGTGTATACAAATGGTGTAATAATAAAACACCGTAAACGAATGATGATTGACGTGAGAGACATGCCCGGAAAAAACAAAAGAACAAAAAAATGTCATCGAGTAACAAAAAAGTTAGCCGATTTTCTTTGTGACGGAACAGCAGCTGATTATCGTTCGGATAACGGGTTTTTAAAGTGAAATTGTATTGGTTGTTTTGTCAATTATGTCGCAGATCGATCGTGAAATATACTATTATCGTCGCCTGAAGTGCAAAATAGTACATTATTCTGGTCTGGCGCGTGGGGGAGGCCGTAGCCATATTAAGCGTACAAAGCCCGACAAAGGCGTTCGCAAAGAGCACACGTGTCCGCAGATCAATACACGAAACGACGACGACGACGACATCCACACACAATAAAATCCTGGAGTCCCGATCCCGACTAGTTTCGACCTAAATAATAAATTTATATAATATAATGATATCAACTGCAAAGTCGACGACGATGACGTCTATACGCGGGACACGGCTAGCGTCGTCGTACGTTCAGCTCGTTTGGCGAAGTCGGGGAGAGGAAAAATCAATGTTTCGAGTGCGTTTTTAATGGCATTTTCCCACCGTCGCTGCCTCCACCAACGCCACAACCACGGCGGGGTACGACGAGACGCGTCCTATATTCTATTACTGTATATCTATCTATAAAGCACGAATATACCGTATATATATTTTTTGTTTTATTATTATTTCGTTCCCGGCACGTTACACAGACATACATCCATCTCAAGTTATACATGTATACATATAAACGACGTCGAACAGATGTGCGAGAGCCGCCCCCGTCCCCTCTCCACACAACCCCATCACAAGCAGACAGGATAAATAAATTATACGCGGCCCCCCTCGACATGTGTGTTTCTCGTGAGCGACCTCCACACACTAGGAACGCACGCAACACACGGCGGAAGAAAAAAATTTAACTGAAATAACGCAGACGGCAGCAGTGCCGCCCCTCGGCAGAGAGGAAATTATACATTTATACTACATTACACCGTCAGAGAATATGATATGCTGAGAAAAAATAATATCATATTATTATTCATCGTTGTCTCTGCACGGCTGATAATTTTCAGTAAACTAAAATATTATAATAATCGAGCAAACGATGCCAGCGATATTTGGCCAAAGAGAGTATTCAAGGCCCGCAGGCTGATTGACGTGCAGTCCATACTCTTATACACGGTTGAGAAAAATCATTTTTGTCTGCAACAATACGGTCGTCGTACCTTGGGCGTACCCGATTTATATAATTGAGACGTAATTAAACGATTGACGATGAATTACTTTAATATTGTAGGTACTACATAAAAATAATAATATAAGCGTAAAGTGAATGTACACACATAGGTATAGTATTAGGTGTGAACAATTTTAACACAGTTATCTGAATTTCCATCGAACACGCGTATTATACTAGTTACACGTAATAATCGGTCCATGTATGAACGAAGGCCCAAGGAAAATTTAAACTGATGAAGATACTTGGAACGAGTTCTGATGTTCTCAATAGACAACATAAAATTCAAAGTTTATTTGATACGTTGGTAGGTTGTAGGTCTAATCACAAAAAAGAAGACTTAATGGTATTTTATTGTTCACAGTTACTTTAGACTAACTATTTTCAAAGAGACCATTTTAACCGAAAACATTTTATCAATACAGTGATATAATTTTATCATAAGCCAGACAAATGCATATTTAATACCTTAGGAAATACAATGAATTTTTTTTAAGAACATATTAGTATTGGGTATTTAAATTTTGCCGAAATTAAAAATGTCTTACATTTTCCAAACTACTGATTTGTTTTACGGAAACTTGTCACCCTGTTAAAAATAATAGCAAAAAGTTAACGACGGTAAACGAAAATAAAAAAACGGATTTTGAACGTTTTAAAAACCAAACACATGTAGTGTGTATTCCACGGCTGGCTGCAGTCCATACGGTCAATGGACACTAAACTTCATACAATAGTATAAAAGGGCGCGTTACTGAGATAGAGATAGTATATAAATCCGCTAATTAAGAGGAAACAAATTAACAATCACCGAGACCATTGCGCGGGAGATGACCGTGCCAAGTTTCCGAAACCAATTTCATTTACGGGAATCACAATAAGCATTTTTTTCTCTCCATTTGCAAACTGAGTTCAGACGTTTGTTTGGCAACCGGCGATAATACTATATTGCTCCACTCGTATCATATATAATTCATTCGTCAGTCACATACACGAGCAGCCGTCTCGTAAAAATATCACATGCAAAAAAAAAAAAATATAAAAATATACGGCGAACGAAATGGGGAAAAAACATTTTTTTTTTAATAACCATTTTTTTTTTTGTAGCCGAGCACAAAATTCAATACCACGTTCGTTGTAACATAAAAAAGCCTTTTGTTTATGCAACCTATACTTATATGGTACCTACACAATATTATATATGGCGATGCTATTATACGATCTATGTACTCGATAAATCGTCGGTCGTAATATAATATGTCATCGAACGGGAGTAAAAAAAACCCTTTTCCACGGCTGGGGAGTTGGGAGGGTAGTTGAGAAGTGGGTCGTCGTACACAAGACGTCGATGAATGCGAAAAATGTCAGAATAATACCCACATCGCCGAAATTTCGGAAAAGATAAACTTTTATTCAAATAGAAGTAGAAAAGAGAAATGAATATGTCGAGAAGCCAGCGGGTTGTTGAGTGTAAATAAAAACGAAAAGAACACGGCTGAGCACTTAATAATATATAAACTCACTTCGGGCCCGATATATACATACGTATTGTATTATACGAATATCGATCGTTTAGGGAACCAAGGAAGGGTGGGCGGCGTCGGTCCGAGAAGTAAAAAGATACTACCTATAAAATATATCTATTTCGTTTTTGAGGAGCTTTTTAAAATATACGAATATTATTATCGTTATAATATGAAATGGACTCTTCGCCACACGATTGACGCCAGGGCGAAAGAAGAAGCGAAGGACGAGGAAGGGTGAAATAGTGGTGAGACACGGACAGTGGAGTCAGTAGAATAATTAGTATAATGGACTTTTGTTTCGTGTTTGTGACTCGCGAGACCATCAACAGGCAGAAAAAAATAATAACTTCTAATTTTACACATGTCACGAACAATAAATTGCGCAAATAACTACGATATTTGTTCATCGTGTGGTTGACATACAAAATAGGTACTCGTGCAGTCGTTCCGAGCATATACTGCCCCTCACATCAGTAGCCAAAGCAGCAGCAATGTTATATTCGTATAGAACCCTATTTACCCAAGCGAAACACACAAATGTGACGTTTCTAGGACTGGGGTGTGAGAGGATGGTGTGTGATTTCCGAAGCGAAATATAATTTAGTCCACTTGGCCGCGCTGTCGCCTGTCGACGAGGGTCGTTAAAAATAACTCGCAGACCGGGGGGGTGGCGGCGACGATTATTACCCCCTGCGAACTCCAGAGTTTGAAAACCGGGCGCACACTAAAGTTCGGTTGCTTCGAGTATTTTGAAGTATTCCGGATGACAACGACGAGTGTGCTTGATGTCGAAGAGGCGCGCGTTCCAAAGTCTGTAATATTGTTATACGCGCGATCGTGATAACGGTGGTCGCGCAAAAGCCGGGAGGAAGAAATAATAATAAATACTCGTGTCATGCAACAAACGCGTTTTCTGTACAAAAACCTTTGAGTTTTTATCGCCAACCTACGTGACGACGGTAATGACGTGCAGTACAACAATAATATCTATAATAACATTTCATTTTACCGATGACATACGACGGTTAATGAACGGTTAATGGCCCCGGGTAATACATTACCGTTGTAACGACGAAACGTCTCGGCCAGATAAGATTTTCGAAGCAGGTACACAATGTACATCCGCTGAAGGCCGACCCAGACGACTCGTCTTAATCGCCATCGCCGTGAACGCGCGCGCGGCTGGCAATAATACTTTAGAATATTGGGTTCGATCCTCCCAACACACACACACGACACAACGATTTCTAAACAACTATCAGCCCATAGGCTAATAAGTAAAGAGGCCTACGGAGCAGTAGTCGCCGTAGGATGCGTCGCGCGACGTCGTTTGCTATTATTGACACATAAGTATATTTAATCGGTTGTGTTGTACTCACTGGATAGTATAACCCCTGATGGGGGATCAAATAGGGCGTTGCAGTCCACAGCTTGAGGCCGTATCGAAAAACCTTGTTTATCACAAACGTAGAGTGGCGGACGACTGACGGCCTAACATGCTACACTTCGGTGGCGCGTCTCCGATGCTTTCGTTTCGGCTTTGATCGGTTCCGGGAGAGGAAAAACAATCGGCAGGCAGTGGGTTACCTTTACACGACGCGTCAGGAGCCGGCGACGTGTGGCGCGGGCGTCGGAAGAAGAGAGCTACTCGGTAAAAATACTTTGTAAAACCGGACGTCAACGGCGGTGGCGCGATGGCGGATGATAAAATATTTTGTGGAAAAAAAACGCAACGAACAACAATTTATAAAGGTAATGTAAGATCAACGAATTTTTACTAAAACAATAAAGATTGATACGTTTCGATACTAATAACGATGATGACAATAATAATAACCAACGCGACACGGATAGACAAAAATTATAATAAAATAACAACGATAACGATTTTGTGCGTGCGTGAGCACAGTGAAACGAAAACTGAGAAATATTTTGCGAACCGACACGAACGCCCAGTGGCACAAACACAATCTGACGAATGGATTGGATACGGGAAAAGGAACGTACGCGGGCACCCCGGTCCCCGTGCACCGTCCACCACCGGGCCATCCAACCCCCTCCCATCCAACTCCCCTCCCAAAAGAATAGTGCTCGCACAAGAGCGCGCGCGGTGGACGTGTGTTTGAGAGTGCGGCGGCGGCGGCGGCGGGTTATCCCCACCGCCGCCGCCGAGGCGCGAGCGAATCGATGAAACAGATCGGTCGGCCGGCATGCACGGCGCGCACCGCCCCACCCTGCCATCGCACCGGCCACCAGCCGGCGGGCTCATGCTCGCGAGGCCTCGCGCCGCCGCCCGAAGACACAATACCTTCCGAGTCCCGACAACAAATTCCAAACCTTTCGTAAAGGTCCCGTTCAACGAAACGATATAAACGATATTTTAATTTATGTCCATACTATAATCGTATTGTTATAGCAGCAGGTAATGCGATCACGTGACATAAGCGTACATCGTGTATTACAGTGTTCGGAAAATGGAAAACGACGACGAATTTAGAAAACTTTTTCGAGCCACTCCTCCTCATCACCGGATTTCCTGCACCCCACATAGCATCCCGTCACATTTAAGCCCGCCACACTCGATCTCCACTTGCAGTCAATCGATTAGTCGCATTAAGACTATAAACTGTACAGTAGGTATACTTATTAGTTATTTATGATAAGCCGTAGGTACACGACGACATAATATTTAATTCCATGTCGGGTAAGTTGCTTTTATCGTTAGTACATATTAAAAACAAAAAGGAACATTAGTTAACAAATAAATAATTATGTGTTCATCACTATTAGAGTTTTAACATAAATGTATATTAATATGTTTTTGGTTACAGTTTATGCTGAGTTATTATGATATGTAAACAGTTCCCTTTGTGACCAACTTTTTTGAACATCTGCATTTAGTAAAGAAATATTCAAACATTTAACAAAAGCTTACAAAAACAGTGTAACTATCATTAAAATACCAAAGTTTGTAAAATCAAAGTATGAAATATCGCATGAATTACAATCTGGATTTGCGTTATTTGTATAATGTCAACGTGGTACACTAACTGTATCAAAAATAATAATAATGAAATGACCCACGTTATTGTCGTTACTATAACGAGTAGTTATTACCTAAATTCACCAACACTGGTATATTTTCTTCTATTGTACATATACATATAAATGCAAGACGGTCGAAAACGCACCCTCCTCAGTCCCCACCCAGCAACCACCCACTTGTGTACGTTACAATGACAAAAAAAAACCGTAATAATAATAATATATTATCGAGACCCGACGGGTCTTCCTTCAACTAGTGTCGGCGGCGGCAAGCGTGTTGCTCCTTGCCAGTTGCCGGACACAATAACTATTAACTAATAAGAAATAAAGAAACTCGGTCGAAACTTAGTCGTGTGCATAATACCCTATAATACGATTATAGGTATTAAATTGTTATATTATTATAGTATTATACGTACTAGGAAATAGTACGAATACGACGTCCTAAGGTACTTCAGTTTATTCAATGGCGAAAAATGATTTGTAATGACTAATGAATAATGCTTTTTCTGAGAAGTGTGTAACTTCATTAGATGAATATTGTGAAGTTGTCAATAGAAAGAAAGTCAAAATAGATTACTATTTACTATATATATTATAATAATTGGACAAATTTAAATAATGGAAATTTCAAAATGAGAAATTTCATAGAAATGGTTTAGACCACGGTTATCTACTAGTAGATAACCGTGGTTTAGACTTAAGAATATTATTTATGGTTATTATTATTCTATATCTATAGATAATAATTTATAATATAGTATTATTTTATATTTTAATTAATAATACATACATATTTATGTAAGACACGCACCACAGTGTATACGTTTGTGTATTTATTGTTCACATTTTTTCCACTATCTAATTCTAAATTCTAGATAAATGTACAAAGACTAATTAAAATAAATATCATACTTGCTAGTTAAAGAAGGTAATGATGCGTCTTCACCGTCAGTAAAAAAGAGGTTCCGAGTTTCGAAAAACCGGACAAAAAAATGTATAAATATTTGTTGAGAAAAAAATCATGGGTAGATTCCTATGCAATGGAGACATTTTCTATTTTTAACCAAGGGGGTGTAAAGCAATAATCGACAAGACGACACATTCAAATTACACCAAAGAGTTACTACAAAACGTTTCTCCACGAGTGATTTATGACAAACATCATCATCAACAACATCACCTCCGCGCGTCCAATGCAAAATATCATAACAGTGTTACGAATGTTACGATACTTCCGGTAATACGTTAAAACGCGCGAACATCAAAATGTATTCAAGATAATCATCCGAGGTTGGAAACAAACAACGTGTTTTTGTTCCCATAACATTTATCCTACAATACACACATTATTAACTAGATACCAGAAATTATACTATAGGATGACGTAAACCGTTTTTAATTCGAGTTGTACCTAATGATATTAGCCGCCTTCCTACGATATTATTTAAATTTTAAAACTGTGAGTTTGTTTTTATATAACAATTTTAAATTTACATACTAGATGGTCTAATACCGATCATCTTAGCTACTCGTTTTCAATAATTTTATCTTTGTTTGGACATTCAGATTAAAAAAAAAGTACGCTTATAATATTTTAAGCAGTAATAATTAAACAATAGGTAAGATATACTACTAGAAGTATTTGACAGAATAAAAAAATTAAATATAACAAAATATAAGGTATTTAGGTCTCAGAATTGTATGTACTTCATCCATGATTTTTGTTTGTGAATATTGAGAGACATAAAAATTAAATAATTTATTACAATGTAAATTCAAAATACCATAAAAGTTTAAATTAAAATGAGTAGATTTCAATATAACCTACATTCTGCAATTATTTGTTCAAAATTTGTAAACAATGTTGGAAACATTTATTATTTTATTTCGAAATTCACTAGAAAATATTAAATCAACGATAAAATAATAAATAGGATAAAAAAAACGAAAATGATCTTTCAGAACTTGTTCAATTTGTTAAAGTCCGTGCCAACGAAAATAATATAACACTTTCTTGGAAACAAAAATAAAACAATATTGAATGTCACAATATGTATATTTTTAAACTCTAAAAAATAAATCAAACAAATAATAGTAACCATACTTCAGAAATCGACGTAAACTGAGGAGATTTCATGATATATTCTAAATCTTGATCCAATGTAGTTAAATACGTAGTAAAATAATATAATAATATTATTAATTAGTTATCAATAGTTACGAAATTTCAAAATTAACTTCACACAAGAGATACATACAAACCTAATGAAAACAATAAAAGAAGGTGCATTACAATTCCAATGGCATTTCAGTATGTGACAATAATTGTTTCACAATCCACAAGATGTATTATTGCAATACACGTATTACATTACGAGTGCATACTTTAAAATGTGAGTGTCTGTATAGTGTACACAAACAAATTTCAAACGTTAATTAGAAGATGGTAGTTAGTTTCAACATTACAAAAATAAATATTTTACAAACTAATAATAAATGCGACTGGAGAATGAAAACCAAATTTGCTTAACAAATTATCAATATATCAATATTAGGTACCCATGAACAAATATTTTTTTCCTCAATCGTTGCGTAATGACTTTATCTCGTGTCTGTTGATGTTAGATTTTTTGTGCTCTGTCGTTAAGAAAATATTCAATGTACTTTTGTACGAGAACTTAATTATGTTTTCCAGTAGTAGAGGGAGTGCTAGTATTAAATAATACGTTATGTCTCTTGGGTTATTATGATGTGAAATAAAAGCCACCGAAATGATCTTTATTCTTTATACCCGGTCTCGTAAATCATAATTATGTAACGACATCGCGGCCAATGCAATGGTATATTTTCAATTTTGTGATGGGATTTCGTAGTAATAGAATTTTTATCATAATACACACCACAAACAAACATTCTAAATGACTTTTTCCCTACATATAGCAACCGATACACCCGGCCGCGTTACTAATGCACAATCTAGTAATTTTTCTTTTATCAAAATGTGATCCAATAGGGCAATAACGATAAAAAACTACAAGTTCAATGTTCATTCTATACACGCATACTTCGTCTCATCCGTGAAACAATCACAAACCGAGTCTCCGATACAAAAAATTGAATAATATTAAAAAATAGTTTAACAGTCACTTTCTCAAAATCTTGTGTCAGAGGAGTGGGGACTATACTCGTCTTGTATATTTATTTATTTTTCAAAAGAATGTAGGCAGAAAATGACACGAAACTTCCTACATCCATAAATCTTTAATTTTATTTTCTTTCAGCCTACCCACCACATCAGAATGAACGCGAACTACATAATATTATAATAACTGCTATAATACTATACTATACAACTGCTGTAACGTTGAATATTACATTTTTAGGTATATTGCTCATACGCATTCGATTATTCTCTTATATAGGTATAGTTAGGCGATTTTTAAGCCATCATTAACGAACAATAATAATGTTATATTGATGCCCTACATAAGGTATACAACGTCGTGTTTAAACATATTGTGAGAGCGGTGGACACTGTCCCTCCGTCGACAGAAATTATCAAAACGGGGTGCGCCTATATAAGTGAAAGTATAATTACAATAATAATGCGTTTTTTCTAATTTAATATTTAATTTACCACCATCGTTTGGTGAACGGTTTTTTTGATTTTCGTAAATTCTGAATAACGAGAAAAACGTAGTCACGGGGCGTCGATTAAAATACTACAACCGAATCAAAATCGGACGATAGCGTGAACATCGACAGATTCGTTGCATCGTCGAAACAAAATGCGTTCGGGTGTGTTAAAATTAAAGCTCAAAACCGGATATGTTATATTGTTATGCAGGGTACGATTCGCACGCACAGCGTATTATAATTTATAGCTAGGTCGTTGCCTGAGCGGAGGTTTTATCATGGAGGCGTGTCGATGAGTAAAAACCG